GTGGTCGATAACAGAGGGGAGGTGCCGGGGGCCTCCCCGGCTCTGCACGGACCCATCGCCCTGGGCTGGGCTGGGCTGGGCTGGGCTGGGCTGGGCGAGGCTTCGGGCCTGCACAGGTGGGGTCCCTTCTCCCGCTCTGGAAGGCTGCAGAGATCAGCCCTGTCCATCTTCCTGGCTGCAGTGATCCAGGTTTTTTCCTGCTGCCGGTCCCAGGGGCCCTGAGAGGGGTTTTCCTGACAGGGCTTTCCCCTGAGGCCTGAGCCAGGGGAGCGAGGCCACCTGCTGGCCGTTGGTCAGCACCTCCCAGCCTCCCTCCACGCAGGAGCCTGGCCCCGCCCAGAAAGAGCAGGGAGTCCTTGCACCCAGTGGCTGCTGGACCTTCGGCTCTCCTCGGTCAGCTCTGTGTGTCCAGGGAGGTGGGGGGCCTTAGGGCCGTCGGGCTCTGCACCACGTGTGAACACCACGGCCAGGAGTCAGAGGGACAGGTTGTGCTGCTGGGCACAGCGGGGCATCTGCTGGTCCAGGGCTACCTGTACAAGGAGGAGGCTCTGTGCCATGACCGCCACCCGCCCTCTGCCACAGGTCCGGCCAGACACGATCATACAGGTGTGGCGAGAAGGGGTGCCCGTGGACTACATGAAGGAGCTGCAGCTGATCACCAAGGCCGGCTTCCGGGCCCTGCTCTCTGCCCCCTGGTACCTGAACCGAATAAGTTACGGCCCTGACTGGAAGGACTTCTACAAGGTGGAGCCCCTGGCCTTTAAAGGTGAGAGTGGGGTGCCACCTTTGCTGACCTCGGGTGGCAGGGCTGGCACAGGGCGGGCAGCAGGTCTGGGCTCTCAGGCTGGGAGAGGGCCGTGCCGGGAGGCGTCTGGGTGTGACCCGGCCTGCTCCTCACTGGCCATGGCTGCCCTCAGGGACCCCAGAGCAGAAGGCGCTGGTGATTGGCGGGGAGGCGTGTATGTGGGGCGAGTACGTGGACAGCACGAACCTGGCTCCCAGGCTCTGGTAAGGGGCTTCTCGGCAGGCGGGGGTGCTGGTGGGAGAGCGGGGCACCCCCTTGCAGACTGCAGCCCCTCCAGCCCCATCCAGCCTCCTCTCAGGCCCGGAGACGTGGGTGTTGTCGCAGTCTCTGTGTGTGGCATCACCTCTCATGTGGCGTCAGGCATGGGGGGAGGGTGTCGTAGGCCCCACTTCACGGCTAGAGACAGTGAGGCCTAGGGCATGAGTTTGCGGCTCCGGCTGCCAGCCCCCATGCGTGGTCCCTGTGCCGAGCCGTCCCTTGACTGTGTCCTCGGCTGTGTCCACACCGTGTCTGCACTGTGTCCTCGGCTGTGTCCGTGCTATGTCCTCGGCAGCCTGGCCCAGCACTGCTGGTGTGCGAGAGTCACAGCCAAAGGACCTCCATGGTGGCTGCCATGGGCGCCAGCCGGTGTACCCTCAGAGGTGTAGTCCTGTCCTCAGGTCTCTGGGCGAGGTCACGTCCACGTCTGGCCAGCACGCAGCAGCACCCCGAGCTCCCCGAGCGTCAGAGCATCAGGCGGGCCAGAACTCCAAACAGGCGTTGGTTGCTCCCCTCGGCCCTACGCCAGCCGGGGGCACAGCACGAGCGGCTAGGGAGCCCCCGGCTGTTTAACCTGCCCTTCGCCTATCAGCGCCTGGCACGCTTCCGCTGTGAGCTGCTGAGGTAAGGGCTCTGGCCTCAGGCGGGCGGGCGGGCTGCACCGAGGCAGGGCAGGTCACAAGAGCTGCTGCTCACCCCCGCTTCCCCGGTAGGAGCCCTGCCCTGAGCCCTGAGCAGGCAGTCTTGTCTTCACCACAGCCTGAGGGCAGTACTCACTTGCCCTGCTTTACAAGTGGACAGTGGAGGCACGGAGAAGTGAAGTGCTCTGCCCAGAGCCACTCAGAAGCAGGGTTTGAACCAGGCTGCCTTCCGTGGGCTCTCCGACCCCCATGCCTCTGCTGGGGAAGGGCCTGTGGAACAGTTGTGTCCCGAATCGTCAGCTCAGTCCCAGACCCCGGGACTCGGCCTCGTATAGCAGAGCCCCAGCTGACGGCCAGCGTGCGGGGCCGGCTGGGTTGTGTGCAGCTCCCGGGGCTTCGAGTTGGTTCGCACCGTCTGCAGCACGTCGCTCGGGTGTAACGGAGGAAGCACACCCGAGGCCCCACAGGGGGATCAGCTGGGCTGGGAACTTGGGATTCCGAGACCTAAGGGAAGGGTCTCACACCCAGTGCCCGGACAGGACGGTGCCAGGGTCCCGTGCTGCCACCACGTCTGCCATGTCTCGGAGCCAGAACGGAGGTGGAAAAGGCTAAGAGCACTGGGCAGCCACCTCTCCTAAAGGGATGGGGCGGGTGCAGAGGCAGGCACATGGGGACAGGGCAGTGGGCCCAGAGGCGCAGCTCTCCCGTGCACGTCCCCGGGCTGCCTGTTGGAATGCAGACTTGCCAACACTGCCGAGAGTCTCTTGAAGTGAGATCTCCAAGCAGCACTGGCGCCCAGGGCCAGCGTGGGGCTCGCCGGAACGGAGGGGGCTGGCTGACTGGTGGAGCGGGCGCTGCTGGGGCGAGGGGTCACCTTGCCGTCTCACGCCCTCTCACAGGCGAGGCGTCCAGGCTCAGCCCCTCGACGTAGGCTACTGTGAGCAGGAGTTCAAGCAGCCCTGAGCCAGCAGCCCCGGCACCAAGGACAGTGCCCTTGGAGATGCAGCAGGCGTCTGCCCTGCACCCCGGTCGGCCCCGGGGTCCCTTGCCCACGTCTCCTGTGGCCGAAGAGAAGGAGGCGGGTGCTGGCACCGGCGTCCAATAAAGAGCGATGAGGCCTTTTTCTATCATGAGCGTGGATTACCAGTGTTAAAACAATGAGGATGGCCCTAGGGTCAGGGAGCAGCCAGGACTGGCCACGAGCCCTCAAGGGCGATGGAGCTTGGCAGGGCCCACCAGGGTGGGCTGGGTGTCTGCCCGAGAGGGGTCTCTGAGGCGCCGGCTGAGAGTGAGCCTTCTTGCGGCTCTCTCCAGCCTGAGAGTCGTTCTGGCGCCTGCCGGGTCCTCAGCCTGGTCACCATGCGCTCCACCACAAGGTCTCTGCGTAGGGGAGACTGCAGGACCTGGAGTTCTAGACAGTGACAGGGCTCCCACCCCAGCCCATCACAGAACAGCCCCTGCCCACGTGCACTCGCCGTCCACCCCAGAGCTGTTCTCTGAGTTGCAGTCTCAGGTCCACACAAGCATTCAGATGTCGTCGAGCACGGAGCAGTGTAGTGGGGTGTGCCATCCTCGGGGGCCCTGGCCGACCCCGGCCCCTGCTCCCACCTGTGTTCAGTCCAAGCACTCGGGGAATGGAGGGCACAGGGAGAGCATCCAGGGGCCGGGGGGTGTCGGGGGTCTTCCCACTTGTGCCCCGCTTCTCTAGCAGGAAATGTGTCGCTGTGGACCCAGACTGCCCCCTGGTGGTCTCGAATGCAGATACCACGGTGGAGCCCAGAGGCCGAGACTTGATAGTGGACAGCCCGCTGTCACTGCTTAGTGACAGGCCCTTCGTTCTCTGGTCGTTAATTAAGTCCTTCCATCTGGGCCTGAGCCGGAGAGGCCCCAGGCATTGCTCAGAAAGCATGCAGGGCAGAGGGAGTGAGGAAGTGTGAGCCTCGGTCATGTTCCCAGAGCCTCTGGCTGCGGTAGACCAGCTGCTCCCTGTGCTGGATGAGAGGGGCAGATGGGATGTCTTCTACCAGCAGGCTCCTCTCAGGGTGTGCACAGGCAAGGCCCTGCAGGAATGTGCCCCACCTGAATGCCCCTGCTTCCTCCTGAGCAGAACTAATGTCGCCGTTGTCTGGAGGGTGCTAAGAGGAAGGGCAGACACTGGGTGGTAAGCCTCGGTCGATAAGGGGGACCGGGAAAACTGCCTGGAAGCAGAGAGTTCTGGGACTCCTTGTTGCTGCTGTGAGTGCCCTCCTTAATGTGACGGGTTTTCTCGACACTTTCACAATTATTATATTGAGCTTTATTTGTTTTAATTTGACCAGAAAGGGACAGAGAGAGAGAGTGAGAAGACAAGCCGCCAGGTCCGGAACCACCATGTCCAGAACTTGAACCGTGGTCGGCCATGTGGCAATCCAGTGCCCTTAACCACCATGCGACCTGCCAGCCCTGACACTTTTTTTTTAAGAGAGATTTTTGTTATAGAGACAGAAAGTGAGCAATCACCCCCATGGAGGATGGCCATGTTGCAATGCCTTCTCTGTTCTCTTCTTAATATCTTGGGCACGCATGCACATGCGCCTGGTGTGAGTTTCAAGCCACTAGGTCCAGGACTCAAACTGTGGACTGCATGGGAGTCCAGCGATGTAACCTTTATGCCATCCACTGCTCCCCCTTACTGCTACCATTTTTACTGTTACAAGGGTTATGTAGCCTGGTCGGGACCTTTGGTGGTGGGGTGTGAGTTCCCGCACTGTCATCCACTGGCCCACGGATCATGAGCACATTTACGCAAAAAATTGTCAGCCGCCCGCGGTCGGCAGGCCAGAGGCAGTGGCCCCCGTCTCCCCTCAGTGGGCTGAGTTAGAGCCCACTGCAGACCACCCTGGTGCCCTCTGTGCTCCACCAGGGCGGGGAGGTGCCGACCCCACACAGGTCGTCTGAGAGGATGCCAGATCGGAAGGGCAGATGCTGACGCCCCCTGATAAGGTGACGTTATGGGTGCTCTGGGGATATAGGACATGGGGACTTGGGAGCCCAGGTGCCACCGCAGCTCCAGCGACGGAGAGCCCTGCCTGTGGACCTGTGAGGCAGCAGGGGTGTGAGCAGAGCTGGAGTGACACAGAAGGAGGCGAGCTGCAGGACGGCGCACCTCTTCATGCAGACGTGGCCTGGGCCACACCCCCACGCTCGTCCCCGGCTGTTTTCGCCGACACAGGTCACGGCAGGTGGGTGTCGTAAACTAGTCCCCATTAAGAAAGAATAGGAGTTGGGAACTGTTTATTAAAATCACTCTGTATTTGGTTCTCCTTTATCAATAAACCGAAGTTACTCTGGAAGTTAAAAACCATCGTCCCGTACTGTTCTGTGCATGACACACGCTGCCCGTTAACCTGTGTCAGGGTGATGTTTACTTGACTTTTCTTACCACGGTTGGACGAGGAGTAAGCCTGCGGTCCTCGCAGTTGTTTCTAGTTGCAGTTTTTACTGTTTTTGTTTTGTTGTTTTTGCTATAGGGCACGTGTGCTTGCCAGAGAGCGAGCGAGCGAGCACAGGAAAGTGAGAAATTAGCTCCCAGGGTGGGTGGCCATCCCACAATCCCTTCTCCATTCTCCCGTCGGGATTTTGGGCATGCACACACGCGTGATGTGATTTTCTTTTCTTTTCCTTTTTAGAGAGGTTTTTGCTCTAGGGAACACGTGCTCGCCGGACAGACAGACAGAAAGTGAGAGATCACCCTCTAGGAGGGATGGCCACACCACAATCCCTTCTCCATTCTCTGGAGATTTGGGGTATGCGTGCACACATGCCCTGCGTGAGTTTGAAGCTGCTAGGTTCAGGCCTCAATCTGTGGTCAGCCATGTGGGAGTCTAGGAACATCACCGCCGTCAACACCATCTGCTGGTCCTGCCCAGCGTGGTTTTTGAGCTGCTGGATCCGAGACTTGAAGCACACAGTCTGCCATGCAGGGGTCAGTGCCTTAACCTTCATGCCACCTGCCTACCTGCCTCCCTCATAGTTGTTTATAAACGTCCTTCTAAAGCAGTCTTTTGTGCGTGTTTCTATATTTTTAGTCAGAATACTTTTTTTCATTAAACTGTCTTTTTTTACAGTAATTATTGTATTCTAATTCTATATTATGTCTTCCCTACCCTCCATTAATACTCTTACTTGATTCCAAATGTTTCAAATAAGCAGAGGAGCGTAGAGAATTACATAGTCAACAGTGTAACCACCTGCTTCTATCACATCTCAGTATTCATTTGTTTCAGATATTTTGTTTTCAAGAGATGAAACATTGTATAGTACTCAGGAACTTCAGAAAGTTCTCAGAACCATGACATTAAAGTCCAAGTTTAGGGGCCCAGCAGGTGGTGTGGTGGTTAGGGGCGCTGGGCTCCCACGTGGCTGGCCACAGTTTGATCTGGTGGCTTCCTTTCTTACTTTCCTTCTCTCTCTGTCCCTCTCTGGTCCAAATAAAGTCCAAGTTTATTTTGATGCGAAAGTGGAAATGCACGTAGAATCTGTTCACCGCACCTCCCAGTAAACTTTCGAAGACCTCCCCCACTATATATGTATCCCCCTTCCCAGGGTCATTCTCTCCCCCTCAAATGACTACTTAACAGAATTTATTTTAAATCTGATTTCCAGTGGAATAGCTGATATTTAGCTGTGATTTTTTTATTAATAGAGGTTTTTGCTACAAGGTACAAGGTGCGTGTGCTCGCCAGAAAGACAGAGACAGAGAAACAAAGTGAGAAATTACCCCCCAGGGGGGATGGCCACGCCACAATCTCCTCTGCATTCTCCTCTGGGGATCTTGAGCATGCAGGCACCATGATCCCGGGAATATGTGTAATGCAAGCTGTGTAAGAACTTTATGGAGGAGACCAGCAGGTGAAGTGGCGGCTAAGGCGCTGGACACTCCCACACAGGCAACCATGGTTCAAGTCCCAGTCCTGCTGGCTTGCTTTCTCACTTTCTAGCTCTCTCTGGGTCTCTCTCTGGTCAAATTAAAATAAATTAATGAATAAATAAAATTAGAAAAAAATAAAAGAACTTTATGGAGAAAATGTTTAATCTTTTTTTTTTTTTTTAGAGATTTTCACTATAGGGCGCGTGCGCTCGCCAGACAGAGAGAGACATTAGAGACAGAAAGCGAGGAATCACCCCCCAGGGGGGATGGTCACGCCGCAATCCCTTCTCCTCCATTCTCCTCTCGGGATCCTGGGCACGCACGCACACGCGCCCGGCGTGAGTTTTAAGCCACCGGGTCCGGGACGCGAACCGCGGTCGACTACGTGGGAGTCCAGCGACATAGCCGTTATGCTAACTGCTGGTTCCCAAAATGTTTAATCTTTTGAAAAGACACAAGGAGACCTTAATAGAGCAATATAGCCCGGTCATGAATGGGAAGGTTCAATATTGTAAAAGCCTTAAATGGGTGGGCAGATTTAGTATGATTCCAAGTAAATTAAATTTTCTTTTTAAATGTTGGAAGTTGAAGTTAATTTTAAAGTATGTGGGAGAACAAAAGCTAAGAATAACAAAATCACCTTTTTAAAAAGGAATTATTTAATTTTATTTATTTATTTATTTATTTATTTATTTATTATTTTTGTATTTCCTATAGGGCATATGTACTCACCAGAGAGAGAGAGAGAGAGAAAGTGAGAAAGCAAGACTCCAGGTCCAGGGCTTGAAACATGTGGGAGTCCAGTGCCTTAACCACCACACCACCTGCTGGCCCCACAAAGTCAGTTTTTAAGAAGAAAACATTTAACAATGTAGAAGAGAGTTGAGAGCCAGCCAGCACGCTCCTGAGTGGTATTTTTATACTCAGGCATATGGTCAGTTGCCCTTTTTAATTTAGCAGAGGGTGTTGCTCTTAGAGAAAGAAAGTGGGTAAAAAGTGGCAGTAAACACCCCGCCATTGGGTATGACCACATGACGATCCCTTTCCCTCTAGTTTTCCTTTGGGGATTTTGGAAATGTACACACACATGCCAGGCATGGTCTCTCAAGCCACCAGGTTTATGCTAAGAGCTGGCTCAGGAAAGTCCAGCTTATTCAAATGTGAGAGTGTGCAGGTATAAGAAAAAGAGAAGAACTTTTAAAAATGAAGGCTATTTTCTCATAA